AAAGGAGGAAAGATTATGCAACAACATTTGGCAAGAAGAAGTGACTGAAAATTGTGGTCATCAACAGGTCTTTATCTCTCTTGCGGTTTTGCATATTATATTGCATCCTCCAGATCTTCAGGTAACCCGAAACACTTTAACTCCACCACTTAAACAGCCCTTTTAATGCCAAACGCCGTCTACCCTGGATGATGTCTTTAATGAGAACTCACTATTGAACTTAATGAATGTAGAGAGCTAGTTGACTAGAATCAAGATTTAGATTGTTTAAGTTTTGCATGATGGAAAAAGTGGACTAGTATCTCTTGTGCATTGGTGAGAATTTTCTAGACTAAGTTGTGGATTGATGCACTACCTTTGGTCCTAGTTTAGGAGTTCATGTCTCTGAGATTTGTGCATTTCCTATTTTTGTTTTCACTTAACCAGTTTAGGCTTTTGCTTTGTTTGAGGACAAACAAAGGTTTAAGTCTGGGGGAGTTGATAACACCGCATTTTGACCACTTTTATGGATCGTTTTGAAATACTTTTTCTATGTTTTTCATTGCTTTCAAGTACTTTTATTACGTTTTTCTAGTATTTGTAGTTCCAAGACTCTTTTCAGGTAACTTAGGGAATGGATAGAAAACCAGATTTCAGCTCAGAGTCAAACCGTCAGAAGTTCACCCCTGATTGAAGGCCTTCTCACCGTCTGATCCAGCTCAAATTTGGAGACCTTAAAGATGGAAGTATCAGCTTTTCAGCACACTTTACAGCCTGGCAATCCAACGGTTCAATCAAAAGATACACAAAGAGCAAGATGTCCCGTAAACCAGCCGGCAAGCGTTTCCACCCGCGGCCAACATGTCATTTCCCGCGGTCAGAAGCACCGCGACCACGGCCAGCCAACCCGACTTGGAAGGCCCATTTCTGAAGCCCGTATCACTTTCCCAGCCTTAATTCCGGAACCCTAGACACCAGAGAGTATTGGAGACTATAAATACATGTCATTTAGGTCGTTTTTTAAGAGAGAAGAAGAGAGACGAAATACTTTCCAGAAATTTTACTTTAAGCTTTGTTTTTAGGTTTTAGGGAGAGAGAGATTTGTCTCTTGAACCCTTTTTCTTTCTTTTTCAATTTCGGTTTCTATTCTACTTTTTAATACTATGTTTTTGATTTCGTTCATCATGTCTGAGTAGTTTTATTGTTGGGATTAAGGGATTTTCGATGGGGATTTATATGTTCGATGAGGATTCCATGAGCTTTTGAGCCGAATCTTAGAACTTTTTCTTCTGAATTCGTTTTTACTGCATGAGAGTAGCGTCATGAACTACAATCTGATCCAGATGCTTGGTGACACGAAAGTGTTCATCCGGTGTCAGATCTAGTTTGGGAGAGAAAAACAAACATAGGAGTGGAAACCTACCTATGGGCGATTTGTGAATGCTGACGAGTCTTAAATATAATGCATCTCTTCTTTTCCAGGGCCAGAGTAGAAACCTATTGGTCAAGGTTGAGAGAGATAGTTGTCTATGATCACGACAGTGGCGTATTCATACGTCCGTGACTCCAGTTCGAAAAGTTTAAGCTAAGATCTTATCAAATTTACTTTTTAGCAATGTTTGAATCGTTCGTACCCCTGAGAAAACTTCCCTGAACCCCAGCGCCTCTTTTCTTATAGATTTACACCGATTTTCATTCAAGCTTTAGTCTAGTTTATTTACTCTTTCAATCAATTTTTATTAAAGTAATTAGGTTTAACCGTTCTTCTCGTTTTTACCAGTTTTCGTTAAGTTTAGTTATTAGGTCATTTTATTTCCCGTATTTTCTCTTTAAGATTCGTTTTTACATTTTAAACACACCACCAAAACCCCCCCACAAAACCGTTTGGTTCTAGACTTCCTTACTTTATATTTCTTTCGAAGGCTTTTGCAGGAAAGATCCTCCTTCCCTGTGGATTCGATCCTTAAGTACTACAATCGATCAGCTGTGCACTTGCGGCTATTGATTTCATTTAGGATAAAACTTGACAACCCTCAACACCACGACACACACCACATCACATAGCTTGCTAGTTGCTGATAGTTTAGGCTATCCCTGGCACTCTCTTGTTGGTGATTGCTACAAGACCTCCGCTTGGGCGAAGACTTACGAGGGTGATATATATCTTGTTTCTGACTCTTAACGGCTTAGAAATACCAAAAAGTATTTCGCAAATAGTTTTGCTACCCCCTAGAACAAAAAGGTAGTCGGACCGCCCTAAGGAAGGACGTCACCGCTCCGTTGGTGAAGTACCAATACGTTCTAACTTTTCTCTTTACCTTTTATTTAACTACACATATCTTGGATGCTAACAGAGTGCTCATAACACAGGTGAAAAATAAGAAGCAGGGTCTTAACAAATGCAGCCGTTGCAAAGAATCTGGTCACAACCTTACCACCTGTTCTAATCCTATTTAAATCATTTATGTGGAAGTTGCTTTCAACACTCCATCTCTTTTGATATTCCATATTTATAAAAAAAACTTGGACCAAGTATCCATATATCCATGTTTGTTTGGTTAATGATTTGCGATATCGGAGGTAACGTTTTGTAAGATTATTTCAACCATTGTATTTTAAGGACATAACTTATCCATATGACCTTGTGGATTTTAGGGTTGATCTAATTTGGCAAATGGAACTATAACAGCTGTATGTTTGCATATTAAAGTCATTTTTTTGAATGAAAATGGTAGAGTTTTATGGTTTAGGATCGGTGGTATATATAGGGAGAGGAAGTCAATGAGAAAATTTTAAAATTGATGTTAGGCGGGATTGAAATTATTTCAAAAAAGAGAATAAAATAAAGAATATGAATATTTGGAATATATGTAGTTTATATATATATATATATATATATATATATATAGGGTGGGCAATGCTTGTTGATATTATTAAAAAATGATGACATAAAAATTCATGCAAGAAAATAGCAAAAGGCTCTCACTGCCCTTGAAATTGAAAAACCATGACAACTTATAGTGGACTTTAATTTTCTGGTTAGATCAATAGGCTTAACTTTATTATTTTTGTAATTGAACTTTTCTAATACCTGTAACATTTCAAGATTAAGACCATTGTAAGTTTAACGGTATATATATCAGTTCAAGTCAGTTTTTTTTTTTTTAAGTTTTGGGTCAAAGCGACATAAAGAAATTTTGAGAGAGAAGTTTCCAACCTACTGGTTTCGAACCAATAACCTAAAGATATCTGCTTTACCTACAGCCCCTCTACATACTGGTTGGATGTGTTCTATATTTTTTTCATAAAATAAAATCTTCTATTATTATTTGAGAAGGATATTTCAAAAAGAACCTTTATGTCATGTGTTATTAACAACTTTGCCATGCTGATGTGTAAATCTCAGAGAGCTTCTCAAGGATTTTTTTTGAAATTAGACTCAACTTACTAGATTAATTACATCATATGCCATTAACATTAATTTAGTTAAAGATTAGTTTATATCAAATATATTTAATATTCAAACATTTAATTTGTAAAGATATTCTCTCTCTCTTTCTATTTATTATCAACATATTTATTAAAATTTAATACATAATATTAATTATGTTACTAAATATTATTTTCTTATCTCATCTTTTTTTAATTTTAATTTTGTTAAAAAATAATCATATTATTAATAATAATAATATTTAAATTATTTTATTTATATTATAATTCATATTTTTTTATTTCAAAGCAAAGTATTTTAGTCTGATGTTAGACCGGTTAGATAGAACATATTAATCTAATTTACTATATTTAATGTGTAATTTTATTCATATAAAAAATACTACTAAAATTAATTATAAAATCAATAATTATCTAGCATTATGCAATTATATTATAAAATAAATATAATTTTGATCATTATTTATAATTATATAATCATCATATATATTTGCAATTATAAATATCAGCTAATATTTTTATAGCTGTATTTATATATATTATATTTACAGATTCGAATAAAAGAATTATGGTTAATATTTAATATGTGCGGGGTAATCAACTAGTGTATTTTGTTGTAGGAGGACAATTCTTGAACAATGTTTCTTTAACATTGGAGGACGAAAAAACAGATTAAATAGAATCTTGGATATGCAATTGGCTTCTACTTCCAAAAATGCATTCAAGCAAGCAGGACCTATGTGGCCAAAATGTCCAGTGAATATAGATTGAAAATTTTTTGCAATGCATCGAGGGATATTTATCATTGATAACCAACAATTATCTTATTTTTGAGGTTTCTTCCCTTTCTATTATGTATGATGCCTGAATCATCTAGACAATCTTCCGTGATCCAAGTCATTTTTTGTCAATATTTTTGAACTCCTTTCTGAATTCAAACTTATGCTATGTTATGTGTTTCCAGATTCCATTATAGTACGGAAACATGTTCTACTAGACAACTACACCAAGTCTTTTCTAAAAGTCTAGATTATCATTACCACAGAAGCACAAAGGAAACGTATATGATTACATGCTAGAGAAGATAATTGTATAAGATAACTGTAGAAAAAAAACCCATCTTATTTGTATTTAGAAAGTCAAACAACCTTGGCTCAAGCTTCTCTAACATAGTTGTATTTTGGCACAATCTAAAATAGTATCGACCAAGTTTGTGTTAACTAACGGTGTTAATTACCAATTTTATAGAGATGTATTTTAGCACAATTTAGAATAGTTTTGATATTTAAGATTTCATTGATAGAGTTTGAGCAATTTTTTCAACTCCATTCAGAGGATCTAAATATGGTTTGATGTTTATCATTCAAATAGTATATTTTGGTTTATAATTTAAGTTTTATGATTCAGATTTGTGTAAACTTCTAACAAGGCATGGTTAACGTAGAAGGATGACTAAATATCGAAAGAAATATGACTTCTCTATTATCAATTATATCATCATACTTTGGATTATAACATCGTAGAATTAGCTAAGATGTGGAAAGAGAAAAAATAATACCATAATTTAAACTCTATTTTGTAGTAGGAGGATTTGCGCCAGCAATTTTTGAACATTGTTCCTTTAACATTGGAGGAGGGAAAAACGGATTAGATGGAATTTTTGGAATACAATTGGCTTCTGCTTCCAAAACTGCCTTGCAGCAAGCAGGACCTATGTGGCCGAACTGTCCAGTAAATATAGATTGAGAAATTTCTGCAATGCATCCAGGGATATTCATCACTGATGACCAACATTTTGTTATGTCAGGTAATCCTGGCATACCAGGACTTGGTTGAAATGGAAAGGGAAAAGGGAATGGAATTGGTAACTGTGGTAGTTGAGCATTTGCCGAGACTACAACGCATATGACCACCAGAAGGAAAGACACATTTTTTGTAGACATGATGAGCTATTGCACTAGAAATAAAGAAGAAGAAAATGATCCTTTCAAATATGATTTTTTATTGAGTTTGTTTTTGAATGATGAACAATAGTACAATCCTTGTTTATTTATATGGGAAGAAATGAAACTACCATATCAATTACCTTGAAGAAACGTCTTCGAATTCTTATAAGGAATTTAATTACTAGCCGTTTTAAAATATTAAAATAGAGTGGAAATCTCCACGAGGGGATGAGACGAACGACATTTAATAAAATATAACTGGCGATCCTTAACCAAACTGATCAGGTCAGTTTCTATAGTCACTCGGTTTTGACTTGCTTCAGTTTGGTTTTGTTCTATTTCGTCTCTTGAATAAGCCAAACCGTTCTCTTTTCCAGAGTGTGTGACTAGTCTTTCACTGGTTCAGTTTAGATTAATGGCAATATTTTGTTTTGTACTATGATGAAGATGGGTGAAGGAGCTTCCCATCGGTTCTATACTATTTAAAAATGTTTAAATTTTTCTAATTAAAACAATGGAATGATTTTTTTTCCAATGACAAATTTAGTGTGTGATAATCCAAAACGTTATTAAATGTAATGTTCATAAAATTTAGTGAGTAGAGTAGAACACGCCTATGTTTCAGAGCTTCCAAATCAATGTCCGTAGCTTCATAGGGAAATTATTGTGTGAAATCAATGAACATTTTATCATACGGTATTATGGTTCATAAATTTTTGCTATAGTTCACACCTCTTTTTTTTATATTTTATTTTCACAGTTCACACTTCTTTAACATTCATAAAATAACTTATTTGTTGAACAATAACTTTTAAATTTCTCTGAACTTTTTCTTCTACTTCGAAGCAACAATTATCTTATTTTTGAACTCATTTATGAATCCAAAGTTATGCTATATTGTGTGTTTCCAAATTAATTCTTTGGGTTGGTTTGGATTGTTTCTATCGGATCCTGGTTGATTCTCGAAATGTATTCAGGTAGGACTTGGATCCTGATTTGTGGCGAAGCTAGAAAATAATTAAGTTGGAGGCATAACTTTATAAACAGAAAAAAAATTAGTTAGGAGCAAATTTTTTTTTTTACCATTAAATTAAAAATATTTAACTGAATTTACTTAAACATTGAAGAAAAAATAAAAAGAGTAGGGGGCACTTGACCCCACTACTCATATAGTGCATCCGCCCCTACTTCTGGAAATGTAAGTGATAATCAACATATATTCGGTTCTGTACAAAACATGTATTTTTTTAATTCAAATTACTCAAAATATCCGATTAACCAGAAATACTCAAAATAACTAAAAACCAAACAAGGCAAAATTTTCTATTCCAACAAAATTATAAATTATAACAAAAATTCGAAGACACAAAATTCAGAAGATGTTAAGACAAGATGATTAGCAAAATCAGTTCCAAACACATAAACAACAAAATCAGTTCCAAACACATAAACAACAAAACCCAATCAATCAAAGATCGTGAAAAACACAAACACAACAGAACAATTTTGTGGAACTTGGAGAAGGTGCTTGATCTCTCATTGCTTTTAGTGTCTTAACTTGTCGAGATGTCATACATTACATGAAAAATAAAAAATCAGTAAAAAAACAAAACAATACTAGCTATCTTCTACAAATACATGACTCTTTCACAATCAAAAGTGATCAAGTTCATATTTCACTAACAAACACTTTGTCCAGACATTGTATCAGCAACCAAGTTCAAATAAGAGCTATATAACTTATCATATTCATTAAAAAGTGTGAAGAGACAGAATAATACCTTATAACTGAGTATGACTCTCTTATTTTCTGTGTTGAAAGTTGCTTTGACACTCGAATTCTAAAGAAAAATGAAAGACGGAAAAAGAATTTCACTCTTCATCCACTTATGTGTACATTAACACTTTAAGTGAAAATTCACTCTTCATCCACTGTTATGTGCACATTAACACTTCAGTCACTAGTCATTGCTCGATACTGAGAACGTGTGGTTGCGTTAGAAGCTTTGGAAGTCAATTTGAGATTTTTTTATTCTTCTTCTTGAACGTTTGGTACTTGTGTTAACTAGGGGAGTTAATTACCAGTTTCATATAATTGTATCTTGGCACAATTTAAAATAGTTTGTTTTTAAAATATCGATGATAGAGTTTGAGCAACTTGCTTTAATTCCATTCAAAGGATCTAAATATGTTACGGATGTTTATCGTTCAAATCGTATATTTTGGTGTTTTACATTTCAGATTAGTATTAACTTTCAACGTTTACTTAGAAAGATGACTAAATATCAAAAGAAATATGACTTCTCTATTATTATTACATTAAGGTATTTTTGGAGTATAACATCGGAGAATTAGCTAAAATAAACTTGATAGTAAAAAAGAAAAGACAACATAATTTTTTCTTCATAAAATGAAATCTATTTTGTAGTAGGAGGATTTGCGCCGGCAATTCTTGAACATTGTTCCTTTAACATTGGTGCTGAAAAAGGGAAAGAAAAAAAAGTTCCTCAAATATGAGTCTTTATCGTGATTGTTTTTGATTGATGAACATATGGTACAGACGTTGTTTATTTATATGGGATAAAATGAAGCTACCATATCAATTACCTTGAAGAAACGTCTTTTGATTTTTATTAGGAATTTAACTACCCGTTTTCAAAATTTAAACACAGTGGAACGACATTAATAAGAATATAACTGACGGTCCTTAACCAAACCGATCAGACCAGTTTATAGTCCTTCGGTTTTGTTCAATTTCCTCTCTTGTGTAGGCCAAAGCGCTCCCTATACTATATAATTAGGTCCAAACTATTTTTCACTAAGCAGAAGATAGGAATTTTTTTAGGTAGAGAGAGAACATGATGGATCTTTTTTTCTCTGCCCTATTGGTTTTGATAAGCTTGTGAGTAGAACTGGATTCAAAAGAACCATTTCAATGGCTTAATACCTTGGTTTCCTTGAGGTGGTAATTTGTTCATTCCTATTTTTTATTCCTGCTGCAATGGTTTTTCAGTGTGTATGACTTGTCAATTAGGCATATTAGTTCAGTTTAGATCAATGGCAATATTTTTGTGTGTACTATACTACTATTTGAGAATGCATGGATTTTATCAAATTAAGAAGAACATAAGAGAGGAAGAGAGAGGAAGAGAAGTTGGAGAAACAAGGAAAGAACAAAAGGATCATATCTAATAAGATAAAAAAATGAATAAGATAAAATAATTAGAAACGTCAAAAATATAAAATACCAAGTAAGCGATTGGAAAATTGGTTTTTTTCAATCCTAAAATATGCACATATGTATTTTATACCTGAATTATATTACGGTGCTAAATCATACACTATGTTAAAAAAAAAATTACATACCTAATCTTTTGTTTTTGATTTGTGCTAAAATATACATTTGATTAAATTGTATTATTAAACCGTTAAATTTTGTTGACATTACTGATATGACGTCGTAAGCAATTTTAAATTGTTAGGAAAAAAATTAATAATATTAATATAGTTTATGTTTCAAAGATATTGTAAATTATATATATAAAAGAACGGTTTCATTATTTCTCTATTGGTCCATTTAAAATTTTAAAATTTTTTAATGGATATGAAATTTAATACATTTTAAGTTATTATTGTTGTTGGAGATAAATTCGATTTTTGCTATGTAGACGAATCACGTGGAAAGCCTGTAATAAGAGGATTGGAACGCAGATATTGGACCTTTGTCGTAATCGAAATGATGGTTACACATATATGCCTTCACAATCAATTCTAACATATTGAGGTTCTTCTTAATCTGTGATTAAGATTGGAACGCAGATATTGGACCTTCTTCTTACGAGGCCCTACAAGAAGATACGCTGAGACAGTGGAAAGAGAATTGGAACACAGATATTGGACCTTTGCCATCAACTATTGATATGGATGCTGAGTTAAAGGAAGAAGAAGAACCTCAATATGTTAGAATTGATTGTGAAGGCATATATGTGTGATACTACTGCTCTTCTATTTATTTTTTTCTTGTTGATGTGATTTGTGTGATGCTCTTTAGCATGCTTTCTCTGTTGTTGTTTGTATTCAGTTTGTCTCTTTTATATACTTTCTTTTTTCGTTTAGTATATGTGAGTTGTTACTAATGCTAATGTTATTTGTTTCAGGTGAATTAAGATGGGCAAGAAAAACTCAAACAAAAATATCAAGACAACCAATAAATCGAAGAAGAGATCCTGATGAGTCGGGATATTTGGGTACTGTTGAGGCACAGACGACTAAACCTATAGAAGAAAAAGATAATAAAGAAGAAAGAGATAACGAGGAAGAAAGAGAGACTGAGAAAACAGTAAATGTGAAGGATAGATAAACTGAAGATGGTGTTGACGATGAAGAGCCTGATGGTGAGGTTCAAATGTCCCAAGAGCACGAGAATCCAGCTGAATACAAGCGTAAGAAGCAAAGAGGACCAACAAAGATGAAGAACATTGCCAGAGATCCAAATTGTCATGAAAGAGTAGACTTCAATTACTTCGGAGATCCTGTTGGTCCATGATTAGTGAAGTTGTCGTCGTATCTAGGTCCACTAGTGCGGGAACATGTTCCTGTTACATTTTCTGAGTGGACATTAGTCCCTCAGAAATTGAGAACAGTTCTGTGGAAATCTTTTCAGGTTACTTTCCTTTTAAAGTCTCATCTTTCAATATGTATCATATGCTTACGTTTTGATTATTTATTATGTGGTCATGATGTATATGTGAGCTGATACAGGCGAGGTTTGAGCTTCATGACGATTACCAGAAGATTGTTGTTATGAGGCAGATGGGAGGTCTGTGGAGGGCCTCCATATCACGCCTTGTCACAAAGATAAGGTTTGAGGCAACTACTAACCAAGAGAGTATGAATCTGAGACCAAAGAATGTCCCACCGAATGAATGGCATAAATTTGTCAAGGAGAAAACTAGCTCAGCCTTCGCAGCTGTGAGTGAATCCTACAAGGAGAGAAG